CTCATTTATCTACTCATATTAAGGGTAAATACAATTAATTTAAGGCATTTTTTAATTATTTCTAGATTGTTTTTCCAGTGTGGTGTCTGTTTAAGATCCAATCACTGAGTTAGCAAGTTAGGAAATATACTTTTCTTATACAAAATGTATTATAGTTGACAAAAAAGAATATCAAACTATGCTGGTGAAGATTCTCAGTCATCCAGGTCATAGTCATTCCGTATAAATTTAAAAAAACCAATCCACTGGACTTGGTTTCCAAGGTTTGAAGACGTTTTGCTTCCCCTCCAGGAAGCTTTCTCAATTTATAACGTCTAAACTAAAAGAAATGTCTTAAACTACTAGGAAATCAAAGGTCAAAGTAGAAAGTTGTGAACCAAAACATGACAAAGACTAGGAGTAGAACGAAAGATGTTGCACATATTTTGATTCGTTAATCCCTAATGTAAAACTGTTAATTTCTGGGTTTTGCTTAATGTTTCTAGTACCTTACTTTCTAATTTGTTTATATTTATTTCTTCCTACATTCACTTGTGATCCCCTGAACTTATTCCAAGTAATAATCATTATCAGTAAACTAACAAAATAAGAAAAGGGATACATCTGATGACATCTAGAGACCATAACTGGAGATCAAAGAGAATAGATGAGAAATAGTATAAAGCCTGGGCACCGAAGTCAAGGTGTGGTATAAGCGGTATTCCTAACCAACTATACTGTAAGTACAATCATTATTTAAAGCCTTTTAAGCATGAAAAACAAAATGAACCTCTAAATTTGCTAAGGGTTCTCCTCTCCACAAAGGTAAGTTCATCGATTTATAACAATAAAATCTTTGGTTGGATATTATAGTTTTCTAACTTCTCATGATGAGATAATAAGAGGCAGAAAAGATGGTGGGGAAGTTGTAACGTAAAAAACAATTCAATTCAGTTTATTTATATATTGCCAATTCACAACGCATGTCATCTCATGACTCTATACAGAGACAATTCAACTAGATCATCCAGTCAAACTGATTCAAAGTTCTAAGGAGAACCTATCAATTGCATCGACTCATTGACTCATAGGGAATCTCTCACACCAGAATGCAAGCAAGGAAAAGATGCAGGAAATGTATGGTAAGCTTATCTTTTTTTGCCTTTGTAATATTGTTGCATAATGCATACCATGTTAAACTGATACATCTTGAAGCGTACATATATATCGTACAAATTTTGTTCATTGTGCTGTTATTTATTGTTTATTCCAGGTGCAGTTTGGTGTGAAATATGTAATAAAGCACAATAGCTAAGGGAAGAAAACACTGCTCCCTACATATTGATAATTTGTTGACAGCTTTCATTAACCTAATGTCATATAATCTAAATAAAAGCCTTTAAAAGCAGTTAAACGATTACTATGAAACTGTAGCATACAACAAAAAGATATATTAACAATGACGCTACAAAGTCTGTGAGAAAAAGAAATACATCTCAGAATCTCAAGGATGCATTTGGAAAAGCATTTAAACTTTCACTCAAACATTCACCAGTGGCATAAACAAAACTAATATATCTTGAAAATATTTGCTGGTTATTGTACTGCTATAAGTTATACTCACCCTCCCTCCAGTCTATAGATATTCTAGTTTTGTGTAGTACTGGAAGAGGTTGTGCTATGGTTACCGAGGTCCTGCTCCCACTAATTAGTCTTTGTTTTCAGTCACTGCTTACTCAATAATTCGAACCATAAAATCAGTAATAATTACATAATGACAAACTGTATGATCTTTTCTTGTCAGGGTTTCATGATGAGCGGACATAAAATGTCCAAGAACCAAGAAACCAATAATTAGATTATGTTTAGAACAAAGGACCTCATTATGTGTTCTCTGACCAAATGAGTGTTTGAAGCAACACAGTAGACCCTAAACAATAACAAAGCTTTCTTTAAGAGACAGAAACCAGTATAGTTAACTAGTTTAAATAACCATTGCAAAAGTATTCAGTTCAGTTAAAGGTATAATGGAGGATTTTCGCAAATTTGTTAAAAAGTTGAAAAAAAGAAGAACATGCAGAAAACTGTATCCACTCCTGAGAGGGAATGCCTTAAACACATGCGGGAGCATGCACAAGCCCATTTCTCCTTGTGCACGTTTTGTTTAAAAGTTGCTGTTCTCATAGCTCATTATAACAAGTGTGTGACCATTTTCACTGTAATGACCTTTTTCAAGAGCTTTAACCAGGTTTTAGAGCTCACCATAACACTGAAACAGCTCTTGTAAAAGCCACTAATGATATTCTCGTAGCCTCAGACAATGGACTTGTATCTGTACTGTCCTATTAGATCTCAGTGCTGCATTTGAAACAATATTCTTTTAGAAAGATTTAAACTTTCTGTTGGAATCCATGTAGCAGCACTACTGCTGCTACATGAATGTTACATATATGAATGTTAAATGCTGGTTTAAATCTCTTAGTTTGTTCATGTTAACAAATCTTCCTCATGCTTCAGGGTTACCTTTGGAGTACTACAAAGATCTCTGCTAGGAACAATTTCTCTTTACTGTATATACAGTATGCTCTTAATTGGTAGAATTATCAGTCAGCATGCCCTTAAGTTCAAAGGTTTTGCTGATGATAGCTATATTTGTCCAGCCTAGTAAACTAGCCCCACCCACCAGCGACCAAAATCATTTTTGCCTGCAAGTGGTCTCGCCTCCATCAATGCCCCAGGCCCTAGAACTGGTGGGCCAATCACAACGCAGAGATGTGTTTTGAATGTCTGGATGCAAAGTGGGTGGGGTTTTGAAGGCATGGTGACAAAGCTGCGCAACACTGGAGAAAGCACAACAAGGAAGATGGCAACAACTATTGAAGAAACTCTGGAGAATTAAATACTTCTCAATGTGCTTTTAAATGTTGGATATAAATGGTACCCTAACATATCTATTTGAAATTTGAAAAAGGTGAGTATTTGAAGTTGTGGGGCTTCAATTCTGTTGCTCAATGTGACCTCATTGGCTGACTTTTTGGCAAATAGTGGGGCCACACTGCACCACTAGAAATATTACTGTTGCACTTAATATTAATTTAATGTGGCTGCAGAGGTTTGAGGTGGAATAGTATGTGTGTGACTTGCTGATTGGCTCAATAAATAACTGCTGCTTTGCTCATATCATATATTAGTGTCTTGAGTTCTTTTGGAAATGATGTCTCTAATGCTTAATAGAGCAACACAATCAATGCTGCATTGAAATCTGAAAAGCATTTTGGAATCCAAACTAGATGCTCCCTGCAAGTAAATAAGCTCTATATGCAGGTTCCCTAGAACATCTTACCCTTACTGAATGCTAATCACAGTTATGGTTAGTTGATTTGTGCAAACTTAAATTGTCCACTTGCAAATAATAATTTATAGATAAAAATGTTTTTTTGAGAGGATGAGTTTGCATATTTTTATTTAAGAAAAGTCAACTTAGTGTTTTATAATTCCCTGAACGGAACCAGCCTTGTTTGTTTGCTCTTTAAGCTTCTTTAAGTAATTTGCAATAAAGCTAGTACCTCAACAGCTGGTGACAGAAGAAATCACGATGCAAATGTATGCAAAAGTTAGGATTCTTATCTGTTAAAAAAGAAGAAAAAACAGTAAGAAAAATTCAAGTAGTGTTAAGGATTTTGCAAATAGACTTTGCCTTTATTCAAGAATGTTTATGATTGTAGAAGAAAATTTTGATAAACTTGATATTGAACAGTGGTGTCAAAAATATACACATTTGTTTTTTAAGTAGGAGTAAAGATACTGCACTTTAAAAGTTAAAGTATCAACTTGACCTCTTTACTCAAGTAAAAGTGAAAAAGTATGTGCTCCAAAAACTACTTAAAGCTTAAAATATAAAGTAACCTTTAAAAAAAAACAGCCAGATGCCACTATATGAATTGAAAGCTTAATTTTTTTACTATTTCGAAAAAATTCTTTGAGATAGGGCCAAGGACTAGGGAGGTCTTGTTGATCTCCATCTCCCAGTATGATCTCGCCTGTGTCCGACCTTTCAGACATTTCAACATCTTTTTCTGAATCCAACATTGTAGCATGGCATAGACAATTCATGTTTGCAGTTTGAAGAACACCTGCTTGCTTCTGACGATTTCCTTTAGTGAGTGTTTGTGTTATATGACTCATCCAATTACACTAGTTTTCACTAGATGTGGATGGCGCCAATGATCTGCATTGGATGGCGCACAATATGTGAAATAAACATTTATAAACATTAAACCAAAGCCAAGAGTAACAAGTAACATTTGTTGTTGTAAAATTTAAGGAATAGAAAATACAGATACTTGTGTGAAAATGTAATGAGTAGAAGTCATAAGTAGGAAAAAAATAATGGAGTAAAGTATAGATACCTAAAAAGTGTACTTAAGTACAGTAACAAAGTATTTGTACTTTGTTACTTAACACCTCTGGTATTGAATAAAAACTGTAAACAGGAGGGACAGCAGTTGTTTATCTACTCTCTATATTTATACCTGCTGTTTTAGCATATGCAAATGCAAGAGGAGAAGATGCAAATAGACACAGAGATGCATAAGCAACACTATCAATACTAGTAAAAAAATTCTCACATTACTGCATTAGAAAGAAAAAACTCAGCAAAGATTGTTACACAATGCTTGCTTAGTAAAAGATCACTGAATCATGCATAAAAAAGTGGCTAAAGGCTGCTTTTGTTTTTTGAACCCTTAGACCAGGTGGCAATATCCACAGTTTGCCAATGTAATTTAGCAGGAATTTAAAACTCACTGATACTGATCAGAAAAGGGGCTTTACTTATAAGGTTTTCTTGGAAGTGTTGAAAGGTTGACAAATGCCCTTGTTAGGATTTCAAAGTTTAATTCTATAGAACATCATGAGGAGGAGCCCACCTGTTCAGTGGGGGGAAGGGGTGGACTGTGGAGGGGAGGGGGGCGTTTCCAACAAGAGCTGCGCACTGATCTCGGATGTTGGCCACTGTAGGTTTGGAGACCTACTCTGTCGGAGCTGCGTGTCTGAAACTGTGAACAGATCCGCCTCATTGAACACCAACTGCATCCAGAGAGGAAAACGCGCAGGAATCAGAGCAGAACCACAAAACAAAGCGATGAGGGACCTGCCGCTGCGCCTTGGCACAGGAGGGACGCAAAAACATCTTTTAACGGACTGGGCATCAGTTTGAAGTGTAGGAATGACAGCTGCCTTGCTTCTAAGAATCAGTCTTGTATCTAAAGTTCAGTTGAGGGTTAAGCTTTAAGTTCATATTCTTCTGATTCCGCTCCAAATACCCGCGCCAATGCTGGAATGGCTTGCGGCTTTCTGTGTTCTGATCCTGGTGGTTTTTATTTGCCCAGGCACCAAATATCTGCTCGGTCTCGATGTTTCACCTCGGAGACTGGGCGTCTCACGGCAGGTTGGCTGTAAAGATGTCCGCTCAGTGTGCGCCGGCGGAGCTGAAGGCACCGATGAGAAAGGAGGCACTGTTGCGCTTATATGCAAACCATCCGCGCTGGCCAAGTACCTCCAGAAGCACTGCCGGACTTTCAGCCGCTTCTCTCCCAGCAGCGGCTGGACTTGGAGAGCGAACGCCTTTCTGCAGAGCGCATATGAGGCGTGTTGGCCGTGGGAGACTTCGGTCCAGTTCGTCCGGGACAACCTGCAGCTCAACGATGACGGGCTGGTGTCCCTGGACTGGGCTGTGTCATCCCACCACAGGAGACGCAGGACCTCCAGTCACTCCACCAGCCCGGTTCTGCTCATCATCCCCAACTCCTTTGGGAAGATCACCAGGAATGTGATAAAGGTATGATGCCTGGTTTAACTGAGCCCCCTGCACAATGCTGCCCTAAAATACACACTTTAGACATACTGTATAACCAGGGGCGGTTCTAGACAGGGGCCAACGGGGGCCAGTGCCCTGTAGATCATGTCCTGGCCCCTGTACCTAAGACATAATACAAAAAAAAATTCTAATGATGATATGCGCAGGAACAGACATGGTTTCTCATAGGTCCTTTGAACAGTGGCGGTTCTAGACTAAATGTTCCAAAGGGCCCTGGAGGGGGCCCAGGGTGTTTTCATGGGGGCACAGAAAAGCATGAAGCAAAACAAACAAAAACCTTACAAGGGATTAAGATATATTAAGAGAACTAAATGAAGTTGAATGTCCATTTAAGTAGGTTTAATTAAAATTATATATCTTTTAACTGATAATATTAATTTTTGGCTTGAAAATGTTCGTTAGGGTTATTAAAATAAATAAAAAAATACCTTAGCGTAGCAAAAAAGCAACTCAAAAACTTGTAGCTATATAAATATCTCAAAGATCAAATAAACTATTTGGAATATTAGGTTAATATACAATCAAAATATTACATATCTTGAATTCTTAATATAAGTTAAATTTACAGTTTTCTATACAATCAGAATTAGAAGTCAAGAAAACTGATAAATTCAGCTGTAAAAATTAGAGTATTTTTTTAAATTTGTTTAGAAAAAAAACATTTAGCACATGGAAACTGGGATTCTATCTAACATATTCTCATTATCAGTTCGTATGAAATCGTACGAAAAGTTATGCACAGTATTTCGTACGTTTTTGACGCTTTTCCCCGAAAATACAGATCAGTGCGCATGCGCAGGCAGACAGACGAAAAAGCAGATCCGCGGACGGACGTAAAACTGGAAAAAACAATGCAATAATTACTTCTTCGTGTCTCGAACTACGTTGCTTGCTGTTTTGTATCTTAGGGTTAAGGTCAGGGTTAGGGTTAATTGTACGTTCAATTCTATATTATTGAATGGTGCGTAAGATGCGCATGCGCAAGGATCTCGCAAGACGAAAAAAACGTCTAAAACGTACGAAATTACTGTGCATAACTTTTCGTACCATTTCGTACGAAATGAGAATGAGAATACACTGTCCTATCACAATACCACTGAAGCTATCACATTTTTTTTTTCATATAATTAGTAAAACTGAATTTTTGAAAGAAAAACAATGAACTATGTCTCTTCCAGCGTATATCATCATTAGAATTTCTTTTAGTATAATGTCTTCGGTACAGGGGCCAGGACATGATCTACAGGGGCACTGGCCCCCTAGAACCGCCCATGCCTTTGGATCTATTAGATTTTTTATCTTTAAAGCTGGGCATACACTGTGCGATTTTTGCAGTCGTTGCACGCAGCTACAGCTCACACTGTATGACAAAACCGCAGGGTTTGTGTCGTACAATGCGAGTTCACAGCTCATGATGTCTGTGCAGCACGACGCTCTCATGCGATCCACCTGCTCACACTGTACGACTAAAAAGCACGTCGGACTCAGCTCCGCAGTGAGATGGAGCAGCTCTGACTCGTCTATCCTGAAGACAAACAAAGAGAAGAGGAATATGAAGCTCACTCGAGAGAACAGCGCTGCCTTGGCAATGCGTGCAATTTTGTGCTGAAAGCCCTACAAAGTAAAGGCAACAACGTATTTGGAAAAAAAAAATGGCTGAGCAAACATGGCTACTACAGTCTGTCAATTTTACAGAAATAACTGCATTTAACTCATTGCATCCCTGCCAGGCTGCTGTGTTTACATCTGAGAGGAAGAAGAAAAAGATGAATCCTTGTTTGGGCATGCGCACTGAGCGATTTGCCCACGACCTCCCGACCTCACGATTCCTGATCAGGAGGTGGTCGTGAGAGGCTGATCGCCCCTCGTTACCCTCTGTACACTACACGACTCATGACGCACGATCAGGCTGAAAGTCTGCACAATCGAAAGATTCTCGCACGACTGGAAAATCGCACAGTGTACGCCCGGCGTTAAAATATTCCGATTTACTAATTATCTAGAGTTCTAATTCTGATTTTATAGAAAACTGCAATTTTAACTTAAATCAATTTAAAAATATGTAAAATTCCTAAATTATGAATGTAGATTGACCTAACATTCCAAATAAGATTTGTATTTGTAGAATTTGTTTTGTATCATTTGTTTTAGATCAACTGTAGCAAAACTGAATAGAAGACATTTTTGAGGTGCAACTCACAGAACAAAATTTGTGTACTGGTACTCAAGAATTCAAAGAAGTGTAACTTTTTTTAATTGATAATTAAAAAATAACCACAGATACAAAACACCAAGTTACAATGCACAAATTATTTTGCAACAATAGATCAAGAATGTAAGAGGTTTTTGATCTGCAACTTGTAGAACAGAATTTGTGTACTTGTACTTAAAATTTGAACAGGTGTAAAAGAAAATTTCTACTTGTGATTTATTTTTTATTCTACAAATACAAAACTTAGAATGTAACTCTCTCTAGAACTTTATATTCACACATACAATGCACAAATAGTTTTGAAACAAAATAACCTTCATAGATTAGTAGTGTACATTTTCCTACATCAGTTAAATCTTTCATTGCAAAGTTAGTTTTTTTCTTTTACATGCTTGTCTTTCCCCCATGACTTGAAGTTTTCTTTTAATATAATAGCACCTTTTTTGTTTTTTCCTGCAAATCCAAGTTTTTTATTTTTATTTTACATTTAACATATTTTCCCATAAGCACTGCAGATCTCTGCAGCTCCTCCAGAGTTCCCATGAACCACTAGACTGTTACTCTGCTTAATGCTCTAGTTGTTCTGTCAGGTTATTTTAAGTGAATAGTTATGTTTTAGTAGTAGGCTATTACTGTTGTGCAATACTCTGGTATATTTACAGGTGATTGATTGATTGGAAGTCTATATTACTTTAAGTTTTGATATTGTTTTGTAACCTAAGGAAGCTTCAAACTTTGATTCTTGGTCTTAATGTAACTTATTCACACTAATGTTCTCTAACAAACTCCTGTGGTCTAATAGAGCTGGATTTATGTGGAGCTTAAATTACGCCGCCTAAGTAAATAACTGTTTTTACAAATTTTTAGGGGTATTAGACTAAACAGATTTGTATTAGGGCTGAAACAATGAATCAGATTAATTGATTATTGAAATAATCGTCAATTAATTTAGTGATCGACTAATCGTTAACTGGAATGCTTTAACTGGCTCTGTCTTTAGCTGACAGAACAACCCATTTAGAGTAGTAATTATACCAAAATTGTAAAAAAAAAAAAAATTAATAATTGCAGTTTACATAAACAAATTGGCCTTGTCAATATGCTTGATCCAGAACTCCTCAAGTGGAAAAGTTTTAGTTTCCTCTGATTTAATTTGGTAAGAATCTGCTATCCGATTATTAATCGAAAAAATCATCTGCAGATCGATTACTAATATAATTGTTGCAGCCCTAGTACAGTGCGTAAACTAAGTATTGAACACGCCACAATTTTTCTCTGTAAATATATTCCTAGAGCTGCTGTTGATTTGACATTTTCTCTAGATATCCGTAACAATCCACACATACAAAGAAATCAACCCATAGATGTCTAGAATTTAAGTTCGTGTAATAATGTGGAATGGCACAGGGAAAATGTATTGAACATGAAAAGGAAGTACAAAAAGGCATAGAAAGCCAAGACAGCAGCCAAAAACTCTCTGTAATTAGAAAGCAATCCTTCCCCTTATCAGTTTAAAATAATATTAGCTGGTTCAGTCCAAATGATGGCCTAAAAAAAGGTGTCTCTGGTATCACACAAATCATCCCATGATGTTTCTCAAGACCGTCACAAACTCATTGTTGCAAATAATGATAGCATTGGTTACAAAAGGATTTCTAAACTCCTGGAACACCTGGAATTAGCAGGTACAGTTGTTTCAATGAAAACAGTAAGTAATTCACTCAGATGTCATGGCCTGTAGGCACGCTCACCACACAAGACTCCATAGCTGAAGAAAAAAGCATGTTTAAGCTTGTTTAAAGTTTGCCGCAAAACATTTAGACAAGTGTGTGAAATACTGGGAGAATATAGTCAAGTCAGATGGGACCAACATTGAACTCTTGGATACCATAAGACACATCATGTTTGGAGGGTCCGATGGCACTGCACATCACCCCAAAAACACCAAACCAGCAGCGAAGTTTGGAGGTGGGAACATCATGGCGTGGGGCTGTTTTTCACCCTATTATACTGGCACACTTACAATAATTGAATAAAAGATGAATGGAAAAAAAGTACTGAGACATGTTTGATACGGATGATGAAGATGAAACATGGGTGGACATTTCAGCAAGACAATGACCCCAAACATGAGGAAACTCTCCATTGGTTAAAGAGAAAAAAAATAAAGCAGCTAGAATGACCTGACTTTAATCAAATAGAAAATCTATGGAAAGAGCTAAAGATCAGAGTTAAATGAAGAGGCCCACAAAATAAAGATTTAAATCAGACCTGAGCAATGCATGCAACTAATTTCTCCATACAGGAGGCATCATGAAGCTGTCCTTGCCATCAAAGGCTTTTGTACAAAGTAATAGATAAATTTCAATGTGTGTACGGTACTTTTTCCCTGTACCATTTCTCTTTTTAAACATGACTTAATTTCTGGACATCTTAGGTTTGATTTCTTTGTATGTGTGGATTGGGTGGATTGTTACCGACATCTGGTGAAAATGCAATTTCGATAGCACCAATATATTTGTGGGTGAATAATGGTTGTGTGTTCAATACTTATTTTACCCATTGTAAATATTCAAATTCTTTAATCTGTTTATAGTCTGGTGTAAATGATTAGTCTAAGTAATGTGAAAGAACAGCTGCTGCATTTGATTACATTGAAGTTTTTGTCAATATCTATTTGTTATTGAAAAACATCTCAACAACAGAAGGGGAAATTGTTTTTAATTAAATGATCAGAAAGTGCAATACTGTAGAGAATCATGCAGTTTGTGAAAGCAATCCCCTCTCTCAGAAGGGCTTCAGCAAAGTGCAACTGATGATGCAAGAATTCCAATCTGCTTTTTGGGCAAACAGCAGCTCCCTGGGGTGAAGCCAAGCTCCCTTGGAGGAAAAGAGCAGATGGGTTAAAAAAATAGAGAGAGCAGATGCAGAAACAGTCTTTCCACTGCTCCTTTCAATAGACTGACAGAGGTAATTGAGTGAGGGATCCCAAAGCTTTGCTTGACTTGTAAAGCCAGGCAGCTTGCAGATCACATGGTGCCATGCTTCATTTCATGCTTTAACCTCTGTGTGCAAATCTGTCACAAGCTACCTGTCGGCTCCATGTCACTTGAAAAAGCCACTTCTGCAAGAAAGGTGTTTAAAAAAACTAGATGTGCTTAACATTTACCAGTAAGAATTAAAAAGTATGGCCTTAAACAAATCTCATTCAGACTGAGCAGGGCTTCTTGCTGTTTCATAAACTTATGAATTCTTCATCAAGCTCCCTTTAAAGGAGTTGCATGCAGAAAAGACAGTTAAGAAGGTGAAATTCAGTATGCAGAAAGGATCACAGTGTGAGGGAGTGCATGAGCAGGAGAGATAAAGGTGCTGGTGTTGTGTGGGCATGCACACTCACTCAAGTCTGAGTCTGACACAGATACAGCAGACAAATAAATGGGCTTTTGATTCTGTGATCTTCTGCTCCCTTTTAACATAACATTCAAGCATTTATGAATGGATGACCTGTCTGAACCTCAGTGATTCATACTTTAAACATAATCATTCTTTCTCAACTTTCAACCAGATCCAGATGAATTTCTGAAGCTCTTTAAAAGGGATGGAGTACCACATATTAAACAAGACACCCCAATGAATTGAAAGAAAAGAAATTCAGTTTGGATTAGAGCAACCATTCAATAAAAAATCATTTCTAAATAAAATAACAAAGTAGAAAAATAATGTGTTCTGTCCATGACCAGAGCAAAGAGGTGAGTTTTAACACGTGAAACCGAGAGAGAAATGGTATGTTTCAATATGAGCATTTGCTCAGTCTCTAAGATGACATAGAGGATTGCAGGGTGTATATAGGGTAGAAGAGCTCAGAGAGACATGGTGGGACAAGACTATGGAATGCTTTAAAAACATGAAAAATATTACAAAATGAATCAAAACATGTACATGATGTGAGTGTAGAGAAGCTAAAATGCAGTAAATTTGCTCTCATGTGCTTCCAAGTTGAAAGACGCTGTTCACGCTGTTTTTGACTGTGCAAACATGCAGATGCAAACTGTGCTGCAAACACACGGAGTGATGCACACTCCAAAATACAATCAAAGACAGAAATGAAACGATAAAACATTGCAAAGGAAAAAAAGTGGAATCACAGAAGCACCCCGCTGCCACCCCCAACCCTCACCACATAAAACCCCGTTAACTTAACAAAGGAAACAGGCTGCAAAAACCACCATGCAAAGCGGAAGTACAAGAAACCACTAGGTTAGAGCATATGTTAGAAGTACAATAGCACTTGATAAAAAGCCTACCTGAACTTTAATGCTAAAGTCAAAATCTGTATTTTTATTCCAATCAAGATCACGTGGCAGCACTAGAGATTAACCCTGTTTAACCCAATCTGACAAAGTTTTTCTTTGTTGAAAAAAAAAAGGAAAAAATTTAGTTTTTATATGCATAGTCAAAATATTTAGTCTGGATTCACTCTGACCGCATATGCATGACAGACGAAAGACGTCTGGATGTGTATTTATCACATAGACACTCTGATGAAATTGCTATTGAGAAAAAAAAAAGTCTCTTCAGTAAGGCATTTAAACATCAAGTCACTGGAGGAAAAGGGATTTGAAAACATTTTGAAAGGACACTGTATTTTCTATGACACTTCACATGTCTGCAGCTCGTTCAGGGTGACAAAGGTTTAGTGAACCACAGCCAAGGTGCTTTGTTTTATCCTTTGGAGCCTTCAACCGCAGTTTGTTATGCTAGATGTGCGCACCCGCTCTAACTATTGATATATTATATATACTGTAACTTCAACCTTCACCTTTAGTTACTTTCTTTATTCCAAGATTGTTATCAAACTCACATTTTATTTGTTGTTGTCTCTTCGAGTAAAATAAAAAAAAATTTGAAATAAGCAGAAAAAGTGTAGATCACTAATTGGCAAAAAGATATAAAAACATTCTGTTTATCTGGAGTTTAAATATTGTTTAGGATTGTGTGCATTATGGGTCAAACTTAATTTAATTCAGTTAATTTATATAGTGCCAATTCAAAACACATGTCATATCTAGGCACTTTACAGAGGCAGTTCAATTAAATCATATATAAGAGTTAATAATAGTTTTCTATCTAAGGCAGGCCTGCCTAAAGTCAACCCTCGAGGGCTGCTGTCCTGCAGGTTTTAGAGGTTTTCCTAAAGGGATGAAAGAGGCCACATATAGTTAAAAGCTGAGCTTATAGCTAAGTCAATGAGATAAATAGGACTAAGCACCGAAAAACAGGCCCGACTCCATCATCTATAGTTGGAGGTGTTGATGACAGCAGTCCAGCTGATATTTCTCCTCAGTTTGTTGTCACAGCCAAACAGGACAAGACCGGATGATGCTAATATGACGAGAAAAAACAGAGAGAACATAAAATTAGGGGTTGAAGTAATAAATACCACAGAATGAGGGAATAGAGATAACTCAAATAGCCTGCGGGCCGGATGTGACCCACCACTGCAATGATTATTGGCTAATCCGGTTCACTAAATGAGAATATATAGTTTGGTATTTCTAACATAGTTATTAAGTCTTTCCAAACATATATTTTGTAGATAAGCATTTAGACAATGTGAACCATTGCTTTGCTCACTGATGTTTTGCTGCATTTGTTTCTATAATTTGATTTCAACTCTAAATATGGTCTTGCAAGAAATAAATAATAATATTTAACTTGCACTGAAGGAAATATTTCAGGCCTGTCTTTCCTAATGCTGCAGTTGTGAGGTCAGCAGGGAGTTTGGGCCAGTATGGAGTCTCTACTTCAGGAATTTATCACTGACCTGACATTTAATCAGCTGTGTTAGAAAACTGCTGAGGCAACTGTTGTTTATTTTGGACTTTTTCTGCAATAGAACCATTTCTTTCAGAATTCAGTGTTACTTTCAACATTTTGTGATTTTTCAGAGCAAACAATGAATATATTATATATTTTTTTGTTTCCAATCAAAAATTAATAAGTAAACCAATCAAGTCAAAGATGAAATATTCATGTGTCTGCATGCAGAATAAATTTTGTTAGTTTAATTCTCATGATCAGGAACAATTGTGCTAAGAAAATCCAAATGATTCTCTTGTTTGTATATTTTAGATCTATTAAGGGGTTGTTGTAACTTATCACTCACTCTGCTAGCGTTTGTCAGATGGTGACAGATTTTCATTTGCTGAATTAATGCCTCAGCTGGCAGATTTGAGCAGGATAAGAACACAAAAGCTAACTGTAAGACATTCAATGATGCTGCTGTATAATAATGCAGAAATTTATATTCATACGTGACTTCTGCTCGGGTCATCCACTGGATTAATAACTTTTAATCCATCCTGACTAAATAGATGTTAATGAGTGATGTTTTGGCATAGAAGTTTGTTGATACACCTTTTTGACTTCTAGATTTCAGATAAAATGTCCTTATCTTCTGCACATCATTTGAATCAGGTGTCTGTGAGTAGAGATGCATTTAAAACATGAAGGAAAAGGGGTCCTGAGGACCAGGGTTAAGAGGCCTTGAATAAACCAACACCACTAGACGATGCAGAGTTCTATCCTCTGTGCATTGGCTACCTGTTCATTATATCATTTATCAAAACATTTTAATGTTTTTTTTTTTTTGTGAAAACTTTTATGGCCTTGCCTCATCTTATTTAGTTGAGCTTTTAAGTCTTCTTCTACATGGCAGATCCTTGAGACCATCAAGTCCACTTCTGTTGGACGTTCCGAAATCTAGACTAAAACACTGCAGTGACTGGTCTTTCTCAGTGGCACCACCCTGACTTTGGATTAATCTTCCATTAGATCCTTGCCTCACCACCAACCGCAGCACTTTTAAGTCTAATTTTAAAAATAATTTTTAGACAGGCTTTTTTTTTTATATATACCATGTATTTGCATTTTTTTTCAATTTATTTTCTTTGTTTGTTTTTTCAGTATTTTCATTGTCTTGTTCTTTTAATGTTATTGTATTTTCTTGGCTGGCTGCTGTCGAGTGCTATATCAATCAATAAATCAATGACCCAGTTCTGATGCTGTGCATCTGATCCTATTCCTGGGATGGACTGCCTACCTGTTAAGGGTTTATCTGACTTTTAAAAGGAAGAAGACCATATGTAGAATGTACTACCATCACCCATCATCAGATATTATTTTCAATTAAGTATAAAGAATATGTGTCATATAAAGTTTTAATGAACCACATACCCCTCCCATGCTATGCATGTACCAGTTAATCAACTTAAATTTATCTATATTCCAATTAAAATAATTTGAAAAACATGAGGCTGAACAGTTCCTAAACAGTTTCTTTTTATAAGAAAAGCAGTGAAGAATTTTTTAGTAATAATAATCATCAACTTTATAGCATGGACAAATTGCCTAAAATATTTATCCTTCTTAGCCAATCTTGCCTTGTGTCAGTATTATCTGACTATGTTTTGAGATGGTGGGTCCAAAATGGACACTGCTATATAAGCAGTGATTGTCTTATTCTATGACATTTCAAAGAGACCAGGCAACACTGATTTAATCATGGATGTACTCCAAAAAGTAACAGGATCATTCTTTTAAGTCCTTGCAGTCTGTAAGCTGTTTCTTATCAACTGTTTTTGACTCACATATTTGAGACATTGCATCATTTATGAGACTGTTTCTGTTCCTTGTTTTTCTACAGCTGTGTGAATCAGCTCTGTCCCATGGGTACCTCCCTGCAGTCTTCAACCGCCGCAGCCACAACGGCACTCCTCTTACTACCCTCAAACTGCAGCAGTTTGGTGACCCTTCAGATCTGCGAGAGGCTGTGCGCTACATTCGCTACAGACAGCCCGCCGGGAGACTGTACGCGGTGAGCGAGAGCTCGGGGTCAGGCCTCCTCCTGTCATACCTGGGGGAGTGTGGATCCTCCAGTTATATGACAGCAGCGGTCTGCCTGTCACCTGTGTTTCGCTGTCAGAGCTGGTTCGAAAATGGGCTGAGCTGGCCCCTGCAGTGGGTGTTGGCCCTATACCAGAAGATATGTCTCAGCAGGTAAGGAGGGAGAGATGAACCAGTAGATAATATGATTAGAGGTTTAATGATACATCTAGTTCATGAGGCAAGATGATACACGAAAGAAGGTTAACAAAACAACACAAGTTCCAAGGACTACCTCGGGGAAAACTTTTAGTTTTTGAAAAAAAGGTTTTAGAAATCCCATTTTAACTTTCAAAGAATTCAATATCCGTAAGCAGATGATGAGATCATGTGAAAAGCCTGATTCTAGTTGAGGTTTTCTTTACTTAAAAGGTAAATATCCTGTAAAAGTCTATCCCCCAATGAAAAAGACTAAACATTGTCACTGCATGCTCTTTCAGGATGAATGGATTCTGCAAGTCAGTGAACTGATGCTGTCTACTGAGTTCCCTTAAGCTGGGTGCACACTGTGCTATTTTCGGGGCGATTTTCCAGTCTTGCAAGAATCTTTCGATCGGGCCAACTTTCAGCCTGATCGTGCGTCTTGAGTCGTGTAGTGTACAGGTGGTTACGAGGGGCGATGAGCCTCTAACGACCACCTGCCGATCAGGAATCGTGAGGTCGGGAAATAATCAAACATGTTTGCAAAAAATCGCACAGTGTATGCCCGGCTTTAGATTAAGCTATCTATCTCTATGAGTTGGGTGAATTGACTTAACATTAGCCCCATTTACGCTACTCTTTGAAACCGATCCGTTGCCGGGTTCGGACCGAGCTTGGATTACTTAACCCTGCTAAGCTTGGATGCCTGCGACCATTTACACATCGCACCAGCATGGTTCCTTGCCATCTAGTGACGATCTACGTTACTTCTGCTCTCTAGGGGTAAACATGGAAAACAACACAGCGGCATCCATAACATTCAGGAAGTTTGCTTGTAATTGTGATATTTAATTGGTTGCGGAGATTTAGGCAAAGAAACAGCTTTGGATGAATTTACTTGACAGAGTTGGCTTTTGGGAAGTGGATATGACAAACAATAGTCTAATCAGGGCTTACAGATGCAGGAAACAATGACAGGTGTTGAGGTTCATCACACTACTAAGCAGAATTATCACTGGAAATCGTGTGGCAAGGTAGGGAAGCTTGTATTTTTATGAATGTCTGAAATTTCATTATTACGGAGGCTGACTATAAGGAGATGATGCGGTCTGCTTATGAGCTCTTTGTCGTCTGAAAACTGAGCCAGAAATGAACCGCGCTGAGCCCTACTGTTGAACTAGTAACAGTTAAGCGTGGTTCGGTTGTGTCTGGCACGGTCCGATTCAATATTGCGTGCCATTTACACTCAACGGTTATCTCAATTGTCATGCTCGGACCAATATCGGTACGGTTTTAAAAGGGTAGTGTAAATGGGGCTATAGGATCACCTACCCCTAATGTCCTCTTCTTGAAGTTTTAAAGTGTGTTGAATGTTGCTGCAGAAACCTGCCATCAACAGAGGAAGCTTATGCCATTATTTAACTAACTTGTTTGGCATCACTTTGGAGTACTCATTGAAAAAAACAAAATGATGCCATGTGGTATCCTCTCAACTAATTCCTGGCTAATAATTACATATCATATTTGATTATTACTGGTTGGATTTCATATACTCTGCCAGCTAATAATGAAACTTTAAAAGCTTAAGATTCATTTAAAACAGTGTAAAATTAGTGAACCTGTAGTGAACATACAGCTTTTTAAATGCTTTTTGTGGTCACATCTGCAGGCCCGCAAGTTTAAAGAGACGAGACGGATATGTTTTAACATATATTTTGATTGCTAATTTATTTAGGTCCAAAAATGGATTGTGTTTAGGTTTAAATAGCTAAATTTATTCATTTAGCCATTTGTAATTTGGAGTAGTAACCTAGTGGTTAGATGGCAGTTAGAGGAATATAAACTCAGGCTATTACTTTGGATCCCTGAGTAAGACCCTTAACCCAGGAAGGCTACTAATGATTGGGCAGCTCTCAGGGGCAGCAACCTACTGTTCCCTGAAGGGAAAGATTTAACACATATCATGCTTTTCTCTACTTTATGTAATACAAAACAAAAATTCCTAACCAGATGAAACTGCATGCCAGCAGCAACTCAATGTTTGGGGAGACAGATTTTGCTTTGTTTTAAAGTAGTTGTAGTTTAGTTTAAGAGATGCAACAGTTTCCATGATTTCGGTGCAAAGCCATCTTTGGCCTTACCCTCACCCCAAACCTCTTTCTCAGTGTATACATGAGTGTCTTAAAGGCGCATCATGCAAGTTCCAGAGTTTATGCATAAGTTTGTCCTCTCTGGAGACAAGTTGACATTACACCAGTGTTGTCCACGTGCTTTAGAGAGGAGGGAAAGCACTGAGGTACCCTGCCGCAACGGAACAGGTCTATTTTTATCGAAGTAATCTTATCTGAGTTAAGAAATAAATTATAAAATATTTTGAATAGAGAATCTTACCTTTATTGCAAAAAAAGGGACAGCTGAATGTCCCTCTTCATTACTGCCCTAATAGATGCTATTACATCACTGGAATCTGTAATACAATAATTTTTCCAATTACTTGGACTAGATTTCTAGATATAATCCAGCTAATCTTGTAATGAATCAAACAAATAGCATTCCCCTCACAAAGGATATGGATGAAGTATCTCGTGCAGTCACCCTGATTGTGTTTTTTTTTTTATCTTTGCTAAAAAAGGATTTTTTTTAATTTTGTGGTGAACCAAAAGGAGTATTTAAAAAAATGCTTGCAAGATTGTCAGATGCAGGTACTCAGAAACCATTTATTGAAAAGACATAGACCACAGGGGGAAGCAATTAAGTTACCACAGCAACAGATGGCCTGCTTGTTGTCATCTTAGTAATTCTAACAGAGATCGTGACCCAGGTGAAGTTTCTCCAATTAGGACTATTAGAGATTTAGAGAACTGTGCAGCTCTTTATAATTGATTTACTGTTTTTCAATCTTCTTTTTGTGACCTGTTTTTGTCTCACTTGTGTTTGTTCTCATATTTTAGGTACAGGACGGCGCTGGGTGACGTCATGGAAACGGATGCTCTGTTTTCAAGTTGTTCCTTGCGTGGTGTAGAGGAAGCCTTATTCTGTCAGTCTGGATATTCTGGCTCTACATCGGAGACCAAAAGTGGCTTCAGTGTGCCAGGAGCCTGGGACGCTTACTGGGAACGCAACGAACCCTTACGAGATGTGGATGAAGTAGCCATCCCTGTTTTGAGCGTGTGTGCTAAAGATGACCCTATCCGAGGAGACGCCATGTCCTCCCTACCCCTAGAGCTGTTTGAGACAAACCCACACTTTTTTCTCCTTCTGACAGACCGTGGTGGTCACTGTGGTTTCTCCACAGAGTCTGACAGGAGTGTCCATGGTGCGTCTAGTGCAGTCGGCTCTGTGTTTTCAACAAATATGAGCAGAGAAGACAGTAATGGCACCAAGTGGAGTCACAAAGTTATGCTGGAATTTTTCCGGGCGACCACCGATTTCTTCAACGCAGAGGAGCGAGCCAAGCAGCTCGCTGCGAGGAGGAGGGGGCTGGGAGGGGCTTCAGGAGGGAGGTCTTTTCGCTACCGCAGCGTCAGTACTTGTAAACAAGTGCCGGCATGTTCCCATAATATTCATGCAATTTATAACTGGCAAAGGTCTTATACCCGATAAGTAAAGTATAATATATATTGGGAGCCTTTTGGAGTCTCACACTTTTTGCTGGTGATGTATCTGCTTTTGTTTCATGCATGACAATGACCGTTTATATTACTTAAAAAGTATCACATCATCAGTGTTATAACTGTACACCCTGTCACAACTTTGATGTGATTATGTATAAAGAAAAAACTAAATAACCTACAGAACTAGAAGTCAAAAACAACTCAGATAAGACTTGCTCTCATATCCACCTGATGCTCAGATACAAAAGTTAGGGAAGTTAGAACTAGACAGATTAGTTAGAAATGTGCTGATAGGCCATGAAACTGCCTGTTGTTGTCATCTTTAATGTTGAATTTCTAAAATAAACACTTTTTTGTTGTATAATTTTTTTCTACTGCATCTTTTTGCCTGTTTAGTGTTGTACTGGATTTTATACTATTGTAATAATTCATTTATACTTATTTATACTATAGTTTTTCTCACTTTTTATTTGCCTAACTTAAGTGTATCTGTTAAAGATCCTTATTTTATCTAAAGTATCTTTATTGAGCCATTTCTGTGCTTATGAGGGACTAAGTAGAATTATAAAAGAATTAATACTAGCTCTATTCAATATGTTGTTTACATGGGAGAGCAATTGTTGGTATCATCAAGTTCAGTGAAATGTCTGAACATTTATAGAATCTACAAACCTAGTTCAATGTTCTGCTTAATTTAAAATAAATTCCTAAAGAATACAGAGTTTGTCCTGATAGAAAAAAAAAAAAGACTAAACAGATTTGTGGTCGAGAAGAAGTAAAACGTCAAAGCACATGACAAAAGAGAACACTTTGATTAAAGCTTTTAAACGTCCATTGTGATTGGAGAGTAGGTGAAAGATCAGGGGCAAAGCAAGCAGTGGAACATTATTTCTTTTTATATAAAAAAAAAAATGTCCCAGAAACTAATCCATTTTGGGAAAGAAATTACACAGAAACTGAGTACATAATAAACCCTTTATAATGACCAGTAAATGGCAAAAGAACAATGAGACCAGAATCCTGTAGGTTGACACAAGCATTACCACATTGTTCTCTTGGTTTCCCCCTGAGAGTGATGCATAAAACGGGTCAAGTGAAGGTGCAACTAGAATGTCCTGAAGGTGACTGTCACATTTATCCTGAGTGTTACTACAGTGATACCACACAATGACTCTTAACATGAGAAAACTGAAAGGTGAGCAAATATTGGCTAAAGTATAATAACAGATAGCATGGTCACGCTGTTTGTTAGGTAAATTGGCTTCTCTAAATTGTCCTTAGGTGTGAGTGTGTGTATGCATTGCTGTATGTTTCTGTGTTTCCCTCCAACAGACTGGTGACCTGTCTAGGGTGTACTCCACCTATTGGACATTAAATGCAGGAGATAGGCACCAGTGCCACCGTGACCCTGATGGAATAAGTGGAAGAAGATTAGACTTAGACAAGCTTTATAGTCATTTTAAATACAGTGTATACACAAAAAAATTTTGATTCATACAGCTTTTCAATAGAGAAATGAACATTTCCATTTATAAAGTGCAGCTGTGATTAGAATGTAAACAGTTTAGGAGAAAAGGAAATCCAGTTTTGAAAAATCATGGTGCAAAAGGGCATTAATATGTAAAGATTCGGTGCATAAGTATGGTGCAAAATGCAGTAGAGCATCGAGTTGTTTTCAATTTAAAGGGATTGTGGAAAAAAAAAATCAGCTGGATGGATGGAGGCATAGCTATGAAAAACATACAGTATCAGATGAGTGTTGTTGACTTTTTTTTAAAATATCCCTTTAGAAAATATATTAAAAACAAACTTCAGTTGCTCCTGTCACTGGATGAAAGGAAACACAGTATCCTAACATCACATTTTGCACCTTCTTATCTCTGACTCCCCTCTCCCTTTTGCTTGAAGTGGAATCACTGGACTGATTCATTCCTCCCAATGAGCTGAAATAAAAAAAATGTTGCCTTAAATTTTGGTAGTCCTCACAAAAATCCAAATCCTGATGGTAACAGGAGAGCTTTCTACCTTCTCCTCACATCTTGGTATGATTGATTCTATATTGCATCTTTATAGTTTTCATAGATCAAATTTCTACTGTCTCAAAAAGAGTTTAAAATCTTAGCTGCTGTGGTATTCAAATACCATGCCTCTTAAAATTCAAAGATTCCCAGACATTTAGTTTTTCAGCCGTTTCTCTTCTGTAGTGGCGTGAAGTGAAACTAGGTCAGCTGCTCCACTGATGCAGTTCTACAGTAAGCATGCTGTACTTTGCTAATCTTATTTTAAATTATTTATTTCAATTTCCTTTTATCATTTTAAGTTTTTTTGTAGCCTTAACAAACAACAAAGAGAGAAAAAGCACATTTTCTCTCTGTAGTTTATTAAGGTTACAACAAAGAGAGAAAATGCTTTTTATCATTTTAAATTGCAAATAAATTTTCTCACTTTGTTGTATCCTTAATAAGACCTTTATGATCTTATTGACACTTTGAAGTTTGCAGTTATGTTATCTAATAATATTTAGATTCAAAGACTTCGCCAAAACACATAACGTTAGCAGGAGTTTTTAACGGCTTATTGCACAGATTATGCTTAGTTTATGCAATCCATCACTTTAAAACAAAACATACATGATTATGTAATCTGCTCAGGGAAGACCTGCAGTTGGCTACTGAACAAACCACTGGGAGCTTCCTAATTAAACAGAGAAACCTTGACAAAAAAAGTTATGGTTGGCCCGCCTTTAGTCTTTTTACTTGAAGCGATACTGAACAGTTATTTTACCTTTTATGAGAGGTAATTTCCTGCAGTTTGCTTGGAATTATAAATATTTATAATTCCAAGCAAAATCATCCACACTGAATAAGAATTCTGGGGAATTGAGATTATTGGGCTAATACAGTGGCACGGGAAGGGGGGTGCTGCGGGGGCTGCAGCCTCCCTCGTCATAGCATCAGCCCCCCATGGTGGGGGGCTGTGGAGTAACATAATATTGTACTTAAAAACATGAAATTA